GTTGGCGCCCCGAAAAGGAAGAAGACCGCTCATAAACCGCATGACGGTCAACGTCCTTCTGGAGTGGATGTAGGAAGCATCGCCGATGGAGGGGAAGGTAATATTTATTTTTTATTGCTTGAAGGTGATTTACCTTTTGGGATTCGTAACCATGTCTTATGCTCCAGGGTTCTTTGAAGAAGGCGAACTTCCACCGGATCCGGTATCTCCTGGATCTGATAACATGGACTGCTTCATGCAGCAGATGTGCGACGCCCTTCATGACGGGTCTCTGGGCATCGACCTAAACATTGATCTTGAGCAACCGAATAGTGTTGAGCCCGCCGTCCCATATTCAGGTATATCTATACCCAATGATACCCTCCTCAAGCATGGGGAAAGAGAATCTTCTGTTTTTTGCTACATGTATTTCTGATCTTTCCTTTCTTCCTCATCTTCCAACATTTGGGTTATCCTGCAGATGTCGCGATGGAAAAGCCAGCTGATGATGGAGCCTATCATGATGTAGGTTTCGAGGAACGGGGGTGTGCTCCTGGACCAAGTTTCTCGAAACCCGACGCTGGATTATTAACCGACATGTTGGCTGAACAGACTGCCAGAGGAATCGAGAGACCATTCTTTGGGAGTGATTCCTCCATAGGTATATATCTGATCCCCTTCATCTTGCCTGACCTTTTGTCTGACTAACGAAGGATTAATATTACAGCACCGACCATTGGGATTAGTCCAATATCGATTCCTGGTATATCTAGCTTACCTCAGAGTGAGGGACTCGCCGGTATGCATACGATTTAGGGATATCGTACTTCTTTATGTTTATCTGACTTTTGACTAATATATGAGCGCCATCATAGGACCAGCCACCGGGACTGATTCTCATATGACCCTTGGCATTCCCCAAATACCTACGGATGATGGACCTACAGGTATGCAGATGACCTTGTCATCCCAATCCTTCTTACTTGTCTCAATTTTCATTTTGACTAATAGAGAAGTACAACTATAGGACCAGCCGCTTGGGCCGATACCCTCATGACTCTTGGCATTCCCGCTGCATCTGAGGACGGTGGGATTGCAGGTATGCGTACGATCTTCTTGTCCCGATTCTCCTTATTTGTCCAAATTTCCATTTGACTAATACAGGAGCGTAATTATAGGACCGGCCGTTGGGCCTGATACTACTACAGTTCCCGGGGCTGAAAGTCTGCATAGAAGTGGCGTCTCCCCGCCCTTGTCGAGTGGTATGAGCAATCTGCCTGCAGGGGTTGATATCCCCTCCATGACCACTTCGGCCGTTATCTCAGAGCCTGTCGGACCTCAGCCTGAGGGGACCTCCGTTGGCGTTGGTATGCTCAGAATTTGCCTTTGAATTTCTTTATCGCATTCGATAATCTCTTAGCTTTCCACACTGTTTCTTGTAGGATCTCGGTCATCTTTATATGAGCGTGTCCGTGCCCTCTTGGCTGATACCGATCCCGACAAAGACATTTTTCGTACAGACCTCGGCCTTTTTACTGTCTTTTATAACGGCATGATCGAGAAGCTTCTTCATCGAGGATACGGCTTTGATCAGTTCAGGCGTTCCTTTTCTCGTCACATGCCGATGTTCAGGGAAGAAGGGTATCCAGAGTTGGCCGATTCCTTCACTGCCGATTTTGCTGTTCTGGAGTCGGAGGTCCGAGAGTTGAAGGAGCTGAAGGCTAACGGGGTTTCTTCCTTCGTGTCCTCTCAGATGGAGCATAGGCTGGCACATTAACAAAACATCTTTATTTATTTTCTTAATAAATAATGTAGAGTCAACCTTCCTAATTTCAAACTTGGAAGTAAAAAAAAAAAGTTCTTTAGTCTATCATACCAAGCACGTGGTGCTTGTTTAAGACCATATAAAGCTTTCTTAAGTTTAAAAACATGGTTTGGAAAACTTTCATGTTCAAATCTGGGAGGTTGTTCTATAAAAACTTCTTCTTTAATAAATTCATTTAAAAATGCACTTTTAACATCCATTTAAAATAGTTTAAATTCCATAAAATATGCAAATGCAAGTAAAATTCTAATAGATTTTAATTGAGAAACTAGTGTATAGGTTCCATCATAATCAATACCTTCGTTATTATTATTACATTGTGCAACCAATCTAGTTTTGTTTCTAATAACTTGACCAGATTCATACAATTTATTTCGAAATATCTATTTGGTTCCAAATAATGAATATATCTTGCGGTCTAGGCACAAGATCCCAAATGTTATTTCTTGTAAATTGGTTGAGTTCCTCTTGTATAGCAATTATCAAAAAATCATATTTACATGCTTCTTTAATATTTTTAGGTTCTATTGTCTATAAATGTAATTGTGATCTAGTTTGAACACTACGAGAAATATCACCAATAATCAAATCATGTGGATGATTTCTAACTTCTACTTATGCTTTAGGTAAAATATTAGTATCATTAGAATCATTAATCATAGGAAATGGTTGATCATCATCATCATCATCATTATTATTATTATTATCACTAGTATTAACATAAGATTCATCAAAAGAAACATGTATTAATTCTATAATCTTTACTATACATAGAATAACTGACAAAAATACATTCATCAGATTTTAAATCAAACTTATCTAAATTTTCTTTTGTTTTTAATATATAACATTTACATCCAAAAACTTTAAAATATGAAACTTTAGGAATGCGATTGTAAAATAATTTAAAACTTGTTTTATTTAAAATAGGTCTTAATAAAATTCTATTTAAAATATAGCATGCAGTATTAATTTGCTTCTGCCCAAAAATATTTGGGAAGTTTAGAATCACATAACATTGTTCTAGCACATTCTTGTAAAGTTCTATTTTTCCTTTCAACTCTATTTTGTTGTAGAGTGTAAGGAAAAGAGAATTCATGTGAAATACCATTTTTATTATAAAAATCAGAAAACAATTCATTTTCAAACTCACCATGATGATCACTTCTAATAATAACAACAGTAGCGAATTTTGATTTTGTATCGTTTTAAAAAATGTAGAAAACTCGTCAAAAGCATTATTTTTATGTTTTAAAAACATAACCCATGGAAATATTAAATAATCATCAATAATAACAAATGCATATATACTTCCATTTAAAGATCAATTCTAGAGGGGTATGCCAAATCTCTTCTCACAGATGATGAAGAGCTCCTTCCTACGGGTGACGACGACGAGACCTCCGAGGAAGAATATGTGGATGCAGATACCGACAGAGGAGAACTCGATACCGGTTTGTCCTGCTTCTTCGATTTTCCTTCTCCATTCTAATTGGTATAAACGACAGCTCTTGTTTGTTTAATGAAATGACCATTGTCACTTTAGGTAGGACAGTTGACGATCATGAGCCGCCAGCTCCTCGTTATACGAGCTCATGGCCCGACGATCGAGCTCCCACACACGTTGAAATGTGTGACAAGCCTGTGCATGACCGACCTGTTGGTCCTAGGAGGGTCGGTGCCCCGAAAAGGAAGAAGACCGTACATAAGTCCCACGACGGTCAGCGTCCTTATGGAGTGGACTTAGGAAGCACTGCCGATGGAGGGGAAGGTAACATTTTATTTTTATTGCTTTAAGGTGATTTTCCTTTTGGGATTCGTAACCATGTTTTATGCTCCAGGGTTCTTCGAAGAGGGCGAACTCCCACCGGGTCCGGTATCTCCTGGATCTGATAACATGGATTGCTTTATGCAGCAGATGTGCGACGCCCTTCATGACGGGTCTCTGGGCATCGATCTAAACATTGATCTTGGGCAAGTGAATAGTGTTGAGTCCACCGTCCCGTATTCAGGTATATCTACATCCAATGATACCCTCCTCAATCATGGGGAAGGAAGATCTTCTGTTTTTGCTGCAAGTATTTTTAAGCTTTCCTCATCTTCCAACATTCAGGTTACCCTGCAGATGTCGCGATGGAAAGGCCAGCTGAGGATGGAGCTTATCATGATGTAGGTTTCGAGGAGAGGGGGTGTGCTCCTGTACCAAGCTTCTCGAAACCCGATGCTGGCTTATTAGCTGACATGCTGGCTGAACAGACTACTATGGGAACCGAGAGACCATTCTTTGGGAGTGATTCATTCATAGGTATATATCTGATCCCCTTCATCTTGCCTGATCTTTTGTCTGACTAACGAAGGATTAATATTACAGCACCAACCATTGGGATTAGCCCAATATCGATTCCTGGTATATCTAGCTTACCTCGGAGTGACAGAATCGCCGGTACGCATACGATTTAGGGATATCGTACTTCTCTAAGTTTATCTGACTTTTGACTAATATATGAGTGCAATCATAGGACCAGCCACCGGGACTGATTCTCTTATGATTCCTGGCATTCCCCAGATACCTACGGATGATGGACCTACAGGTATGCAGATGACCTTGTCATCCCAATCCTTCTTACTTGTCTCAATTTTCATTTTGACTAATAGAGAAGTACAACTATAGGACCAGCCGCTTGGGCCGATACCCTCATGACTCTTGGCATTCCCGCTGCATCTGAGGACGGTGGGATTGCAGGTATGCGTACGATCTTCTTGTCCCGATTCTCCTTATTTGTCCAAATTTCCATTTGACTAATACAGGAGCGTAATTATAGGACCGGCCGTTGGGCCTGATACTACTACAGTTCCCGGGGCTGAAAGTCTGCATAGAAGTGGCGTCTCCCCGCCCTTGTCGAGTGGTATGAGCAATCTGCCTGCAGGGGTTGATATACCCTCCATGACCACTTCGGCCGTTATCTCAGAGCCTGTCGGACCTCAGCCTGAGGGGACCTCCGTTGGCGTTGGTATGCTCAGAATTTGCCTTTGAATTTCTTTATCGCATTCGATAATCTCTTAGCTTTCCACACTGTTTCTTGTAGGATCTCGGTCATCTTTATATGAGCGTGTCCGTGCCCTCTTGGCTGATACCGATCCCGACAAAGACATTTTTCGTACAGACCTCGGCCTTTTTACTGTCTTTTATAACGGCATGATCGAGAAGCTTCTTCATCGAGGATACGGCTTTGATCAGTTCAGGCGTTCCTTTTCTCGTCACATGCCGATGTTCAGGGAAGAAGGGTATCCAGAGTTGGCCGATTCCTTCACTGCCGATTTTGCTGTTCTGGAGTCGGAGGTCCGAGAGTTGAAGGAGCTGAAGGCTAACGGGGTTTCTTCCTTCGTGTCCTCTCAGATGGAGCATAGGCTGGCACAGTGGCGCGATATGCGATCTTCCATCGGCAATGAGCTTCAGTCACATGAGCATTCCGCTGCGCAGCTGATGGCTACCGTGGCGAGGAAGGATGCAGATAGGGCCGAGCTACTCCACTCTTTGGAGTCCAGCCGCGAGGACATTGCTAGGTTGAAGGAGGCCTTGAAGCACGCCGAAGAGTCCGCTACTCTTATTGCAGAAGACCTGGCTGGATTAGAGCGTTCTCGTGAACAAACGCTCGAGAAGTTGGGATATACCCAAGAGAGATTGATGCAGCTGAAGAATGAAGCCGCAAAGATCTTGAGCGGTTCTGAAGAAGCCGTCCGAGCTAGCCTGCAGGCAGACCTTGAGCGGAGCTATGTAGACAGGCTTTCTAGTTTGGAGTCCCATGTTCTTAGCCGTCAGTTGCCCTCGGACTAACGAGCTTTTTATTATATGCTTTTGACTTGATCTATTATTAGAGACTTCGCATCTGCTTCTTTCATGATATTTCTTTTGAATTCAGAGATGATAAAATTTACAGGATTTTTGGCAAACCCCCAGCCATCAACGGGTTTGATATGCCTTTACCGATTACCGTTTGAATCGGGCTAGCATGTGAATTATTAAAACCCGTCTCACATGTAACGTTGTGCTAAGAAAATTGCTTTTCTTAGACTTGATGCTATGATTTTGAATACATAGACTTCACCATTTCTTATAGGGAAAAGGTACCATAGGGAAAAGGTACCCCGCACCGCGTATTAGGCGATGACTTATCCCTTCTTAGGCTTCGGGATAAAATACCCCAGGTTTAAACCCTGGTGTCTTTTTTAATCGGCGAAAGACTAAACCGACAATGTGTGTTAGACACAGACTTTGGGATTTTTGGCGAACCCCCAGCCTTCAACGGGTTTGATGTGCCTTTACCGATCACCGTTTGAATCGGGCTAGCATGCGGATTGTCTAAATCCGTTCCGCATGTAACGTTGTGCTAAAAGAGTTAACTCTTTTAGTGCTACAACATTGAATACGTAGACTTCGTCTTTCTCACGGGAATAGACTACCCGGCGACGCGTGTTAGGCGTTGACTTTAGGATTTTTGGCTAATCCCCAGCCTTCAACGGATTTGATTAGCCTTTACCGACTACCGTTTGAGTCGGGCTAGCATGCGGATTGACGAAATCCGTTCCGCATGTAACGTTGTACTAAGAGAGTGAATTCTCTTAGACTTTGTGCTATGATGTTGAATACATAGGCTTCGCCATTGTTACGGGAATAGGCTACCCAGCAACGTGTATTAGACGTTGACTTATCCCTACTTAGGCTTCGGGATAAAAATACCCCAGACTGGTATTCTGGTGTCTTTTTCAATCGGTAAAAGACTAAACCGGCGACACGTGTTAGGTGTCGACATATCCTTTCTTAGGATTCAGGATGACATTCCCCATGCGTGTAAGGCATGGATTTTGGTGTTATTAATAACAACCTGTCACAATGTTGAATATGTGAACGGGTGTTCTTTTCAACGGTTTAAGAACTAACCGGCAGCGCGTGTTAGGGAACAATCCTAACTTTTATAGGTTTGATTGTTCAAATTGAAAGTGGACCTCTCGTTCATGGAAGGAATCGAGAGAGGAATTTGGCTTTGGCCCTAACTTTTATAGGATTGGCCTGAAAGCAAAGGAAGTGGAATACAGGTAGCAACGAAAGTGCCAACTTGTATTATCACTCAAAGGAAGACTTTGATGCTAGGTGGTTAGGATCTAACACGTTGAGTCTGAGGAATGCCAACGACGGGCAGATGGAAACGTTGGTGGATCCGTTGTCAATTGATCTGATCAATGGATGGTGAGGAAAGATTAACCCGTCCACGGATTGAATCTCGTCTCACAAAATAACTCATAAGAGTTAAAGAATTTTGATAATAAGAAGAAACATTCTGACATTCGGATTTCGAATGTGGATTTCTTATTCATCAATACTACAATGATTGGGTTATCCCTAAGAATACCCCATGTAGTATTCTTCTGGGAACTTCCCAATACATTAGTTACCCTGAAGATACTAGGGATAGTATTTTTTCAGGAACTTGTCGTTTATCGGCATCATAAGCCGGTCACCGTCCTTGGTGATAAGGCGATATGCGCCACTCGAGTAGACTGTCTCTACTACGAATGGTCCCTCCCATTTGGGTTCAAATTTCCCCTTCTTCTTGGAATTAAGGATCATAGGCCGCCTCTCAGCTAGAACCAAATCCCCTTCTTTGAAACTCCGCTGTCGAACCTTTTTGTCGAAAGCTCGAGAGATTCTGGCTTGGTAGAATTCGATATGCTGTTGAGCTTCTAAACGCTTCTCATCTAGCCTTTCCAATTCTTCTAGGCGCTTCTGATGTTGCTCTTCGGTCGTCATTTGAGTCGCGAGGGCAATTCGAAGTGACGGGATTTGAATCTCCAATGGACCAGTGAATACGGGGTTGCTCCCGTTGGTGTGCGCACTGTGGTCCGATAGGCCCATAGAGCCGCGCCAAGCTTGTCATCCCAGTCTCGTTTATTAGTTTTCACGATTTTTGACAAGAGTTTGATGATAGTCTTGTTGAAGGCTTCGGCCAGTCCGTTCGCTGTGGGATTATAAGCCGTTGATGAAATATCCTGAATTTTGAACTTTTCGCAGAACCTTATGAAGGCGTTGCTGACAAACTGAGGACCGTTGTCATGTATGATTCGTCTTGGAACACCATACCTATAGATGATATGGTGCTTGATGAATGCAATGACGTTACTCGTTTTAACTTCTCTGAGCGGAACTGCTTCAGCCCATTTGGAGAAGTAGTCGGTGATTGCCAGGATGAACCGGTCACCTTTGACTGATGGGGGATTTATAGGGCCAACAATGTCCATTCCCCAAGTCTCGAACGGCCATGACGTAACCGAAGGATGCAGATGCTCCGGAGGTTGGTGCATATAGTTCCCGTGTATTTGACATGCTTCACACTTTCGGGCATACGTGATTGCATCACTCATCATGGAAGGCCAAAAATATCCCATTCTTCTGATGCGGTCATAAAGCTTGGGACCAGGTTGGTGTGCGCCACACTCTCATTCATGTGCCTCCCTAAGGACCTCTTTAGCTTCTTCGGTTGATAAGCAACGTGCTAGCAACCCATCGTACCCCCTGCGGTATAGCGTTCGATTCTCCGTATTATAGTAGAATCTTGGGGCTCTTCGTCTGATTGACTCTCTTTCTTTCACGTCTTCTGACAAGATTCCATGCAAGACGTAGTCGATGATGGGGAAACGCCAATCTCGCGGTTCGAACTCGACTTGAGTAGCGTGCACCTCTTGAACCCCTTCTTCCTTGGCATCTTCATTGCAAAGCGGCACTAGGAGTTGGTGAGTTCTTACCGTAACAAACTGCTCTGTTTCGGGAGGTTGTGCCAGAGATACGGCCAATGCTGCTAATGCATCTGCATAGGTATTCTGCAGCCGTGGAATATGCTCGATAAAGAATCCTTCGAATGATTCTGCCATCTCCACTGCCATCTTATGGTATGGCATTAAATCTTGGCTTCGAACCTCGTACTCTCCTTGAACTTGTTTAACTATTAGTTGAGAATCGCCGAAGGCTTCGAGATACTCCACCCCCAGTTCTTTAGCAAAACTGAGTCCTATGAGTAATGCATTATATTCGGCTACGTTATTTGAGCACGGTTCGGTCAGCGAATAAGCTCGAGGCATCACGTGCTTTCCTGGGGAAACTAAGACAACTCCCACTCCGGAAGAAATCTTAGAACTTCCAGGAGTACTTGCTACATTAGTTGCTCGTGACGCGCCATCGAAGTACAAACGCCATACTTGTTGGTGCGAAGTTGCGTTGACTTCGTGGGTTTCGTCGGGTAGGTCGTCATATATCTCGGTGGCGTCCCTAGTTGGATTAGCTGCCAGGAGATCACAGATAGCCTGCCCTTTTACTGACTTCTGTTGTTTAAAATGTAAGTCGTACTGGGACAAGAGTAAGGCCCATTTTGCTAATCGCCAGCTCATGGAAGCTGGTTGAGTCATGAATACTCGAACCGGATTAACTTTAGAGATGACATAAATGGTCTGCCCGACCAGATAATGCCGCATCTTCTGAATAGCGAACACCAAGGCGAGGCATTCTCTCTCAATCATAGGATATCGAGATTCAGCGCCTACCATGGTTCGGCTCAAATAATATACTGCCTGCTCGTGACCGTTATCGTCATCTTGTGCAAGTAATGCACTTAATGAGTGGCTCGTCGCTTTGACATAAATCAAGAACGGTTTGCCCGATTTCGGTGCGACGAGTACAGGAGGTTTCGAGAGATATTCTTTAATACTCTCTAATGCCTTTTGACAAGCGTCATCCTATACAAAAGATACGCCCTTTTTTGCGAGCTTGGAGAATGGTTGGCATTTTCCTGAGAGGTTCGAGATGAACCTACGAATATAAGCTAATCGCCCTTGCAATCCTCTGAGCTCCTTGAGGTTTCTCGGAGGCTGCAATTCATTGATCGCCTTTACCTTATCAGGATCGATGTGAATACCTTTGGTGGTGACGACGAATCCCAGGAACTTGCCACTCGACATTCCGAGGAAAGACTTGGTAGGGTTCATCTTCAATTGATGGGCTCGCATCAAGTCGAACATGGTCTTCAAGTCCTTAATGTGATCTTTTTTATCACGACTTTTCACGACCAAATCATCTACGTAGCATTCGACAGTCTTTCGGAGATGCTCCTGAAAGATCTTTGACATGGCTCGCTGATATGTAGCACCTGCATTCTTTAAGCCGAAGGGCATAACTGTGTAGCAGAAGACGCCGAGAGGCGTTCTAAATGCGGTATGCTTTTCATCATCTGGATGCATCTTTATTTGGTTATAACCAGAGAAACCATCCATGAAAGACATCCTCTCGAACCCGCACGTATTGTCGATGATAACATCCGTGATGGGAAGGGGAAAATCATCTTTTGGGCAAGCAGCGTTGAGGTCTCTAAAGTCGATACAGACCCTGATCTTCCCGTTTTTCTTAAGGACCGGGACAATATTGGCGAGCCATTCTGGATGTTGCTCTTCCCTAATGAAGCCCGAATCGACAAGCTTTTTAACCTCAGCTTCGATCGCCTCCATCATTTGCGGACGAAACCGTCTTTGTTGTTGTTTGACAGGTTTGACATCCGCCTTGATATTGAGACGATGCACTGCTACATTTGGATCGAGCCCTGGCATGTCTTCATAATTCCAGGCGAACACATTGATGTACTCCCTGATAAGAGAGACTAATTCTTCTTTCTCCTCGGGCAAGAGACTGTCGCTAATGAATATCGGCTTCGGATTTTCCTCGCTTCCCATATTCACTTGGACTACTTGATCTTCGGTAGGAGGTTCTCTTTGCTCA